TTTTTCCCCCCCAAAAAAAAACCTTTAAAAAAAAAAAAAAAAAAAAGAGATTAAATTAAAGAGTGTTTCTTATTTTTATTTTTATATTAATGTGGCCAATTCCAACAGCAGCACCAGCAGTCCGGTCCAGCCAAATTAATTGAAAGGTTTTTTATCACAAATGGTTCATTAAGTTTGCAAAATTATTGTATTTCGTACCTGAAGTTTTTTTGTGACGCTAATTGTCCCTAAGGTTACCCTTCACATATTAAAATGGTTTTTGCCGTTAGTTTCCTTCAAATTTTATGTTAAGTAGCTGACGTGGCACGTGTGGGGCCCACACATCCAATAGTATACGTCCACATGGCTTTAAATAAAATATTTTATATTTTAAATATTTTAAAACTTAAAATCCAAAAAAAAACAAAAAAACCATGTACTATCTGCGTTCTCCCTCTACCAGCGCCTCCAACCCTCGCTGACCCACTCTTTGCCTCTCTCTCCCTCCTCTTCCTCCTCCTGTCTCCCTCGTCTTCCTTGGTTGTGGGTTTCATTGATTTGCATGTTTTGGTCAAACAAAAAAGGACCCTAGTGTACTGCAACTATGCTAAGCCCGCTGCAGAGACAGGTTCTGGGTAAAAACGAGTGCAGAAATTCAACAAAAATGATTAGCTTCTTTTTTTTGGATTTTACGTTTTAAAATATTTAAAATATAATATATTTTATTTAAAGCCATTTGAATGTATACTATTGGATTTTGGATGTGCCACACACGTGCCATGTCAGCTACATAATAGAAAATTTGATGGAAGTTAACAGCAATGTCCATTTTGATGTGTGAAGAGTAATCTTAGAGATTATTGATGTCACAAAAAAACATTAGGGACGAAATATGATAATTTTGCAAACCTAAAGAACCATGATAAAAAGCTTAATTGAAATAACAAATCCAAATTACAATACAACGAAGATCGATTCCGAGGCGGTAGAAAGGAAAATAAAAAAGGCGTGGTGCGAGAGAGAAAGAGTACTCCCGTCGCGTCGCATCGCATCGCATCCAGCAATAGGGTTTGATAGATGGCGGGTGCTAGGGCTGCTAGGGCAAGTAGATCAGTAATGGCGGCGGCTGCGGCTGCGGCTATGCCGGAGTCGAAAGTAATTGCGGCGAAAGTGAAGACAAAGAATTGTTGTTCAGAGTTGTGCAAGTTCCTTGGCATCCCTGAACGCACTCGCTCTCCCACCGCACTCTTAATTTCCAGGTTCATTAGTCTCTACAATCATCAGGTATATTAATTAATTTAATTTATGCTCTCAAATTCTCTATCATTATTCATTTTCATTTGACAGACAGAACTACTACAATTTATTTGATTTGATTGATGCAAGCAATGCCCCCATTTCATTTCATTTCATTTGCATTGCAATTTGCATTTCACCGCTAGTACTAGTCTAAATCTATGGTTCTTGTTGTTGTTGTTGTTGTTGGATAATCAAATCATCAATCACCGCCTCAGATCATTGATTCATATTGAATTGTTAGCTCTTCCATGTTTGCAGAGTCCCGGTATCAAGGACCGTACTTGGGAGGAGAACTTGAAGACCTTATTGCATGGGAAAAACAGAGTTGGACTCGCTGAAATCACCAGATTGCTCTCCCCAGAATTCACCTATTCTCGTATCAAAAGCACCAACGCACCCGCTGCCGCACCCACTGCCATCGCTGACCAGAAACAGCACGATCTCAATAAATCCAAGAAAACCAAAGGGAAGACCTTGAAGAACAAGTAGCAAAAACTGCCTTCAATTTACATTTTCTGTTTCAAATTTAATCTTTGAGAACCCTTAATTGTTCTATTTCGATTACCATCTGTTTATGCATTATTAGAGTTACTTTGCGTCATTGGACTGTCTTCCAATTAAATGAAGTGATTAAAATTTGAATTTTGAAGAACAAGAGGAGGGGAAATGAGAGAGAGATCCACCCAACCTTTAATAAATGATTCCGTGGATCTCCACTGAATGACCAACTATACTATAGACTTCGGGTATGAGTAAGTAATACATGTCAGTTGTTTGGTGTACCTGACTATGTTAAAGGGATTGGGGTTTTTTGGTTGTTGGGAAAGATGTGTTATTAATACATGGTAGTTGTTTGGTATACACCCTGGTTTAGATAATACATACTTAGAGCATCTCCAAGGGAGATGTCAAATACCAAACATCAAATTTAAATTTGATGGCTGATGTGGCAATTTGACATCTTATATAGCTTTACACTCCACCCGATAAGTCAAATTAAATTATTATTTTATTACATTTTAGTGTTGATTCATTTTTAGTTAAAAAGAAAATAAAATAAAAAATAGTAAAATAGTCATTTGACATCTTGCTTTTGGGATATAAAAAATAACATCTCAACTTCCAGCCTTCATTCCACATCTGCTTTGACACATCGGTTGGAGTGATATAAGATGTTATTTATAGCTGTTAAATGTCTATGTGGCACGTTTGACACATCGGTTGAAGATGCTCTAAGGTTAAGGAAAAAAAAAACCGTTTTGAACTTCAACCTGTCTAAGTTCGAATGAAAAATACTTCTTAGCACAAAAGTTAGCGTAACCACAAATTTGGTGTTTGTATTTTGGTTCAGAATTCCGTAGTCTCAATTTTCTTATTTTGTAAACGTGCATAAGTTCTAGACTTGATAAGCATGTCGTATCCAATGCAATTGCTTTCTTAATGGGTTGGTTTCGTATAAATTTGGAGATGATTGCATTATGCTTTTCAATTTAGGGATTTTTATGTGTTTTACGTTGAAATATACAAAAAGAAGCCCATTTTGTTCATATAAATGAATTGATGGGAAATCACTCCCCATATATTTTTCTTAGAGAAAGGGAAATTGAAAATTCATTTTCCATGTTTGGTAAGATTAGAAAAATAAATAAGAAATACATTGACGAGGAGCCACGGAGAGAAGAAATATAAGTATAGACTAGAGGCAAAGTAGCCTTAAGGTTTCAATGAGTTCTAGTTAGAACTTAGAATACAATCCTATTACTAGATAGAAATAAAAAAAAGAAATGAATCCAAACATAGAAATCCTGCACTTTATGTTCTATTACCAGATTGTTTCATTTTTCTACATTTCGATATTTTTTTTTTCCAAATAGTCTAAAGTGCTCTTTCTAACATGGTATCATTTCATTTATTTCTCATATTTAATTTGTGAGGGAATTTGAAACAATTTTTTTAATTATATCCGTAAATTAGAAATATACAATAAAAATATATAATTAATGTTTGTTTTGATCCCTATTTTTAAGAGTGGTGATTTCCCCACTCATTTTTCTCCTATTTTATCCACTTACACTCCTTTTTTATAACTAAAAAAGGAGTGTAAGTGGATAAAATAGGAGTGGGGAAATCATTGTCCATTTTTAATTATAAATATGGACAAATTTGTTACTGTGGCTAGGAAAAATGAAACTTAAATGACTGGAGGATTTCATTTTCTATGACAAAAAAACCTTTTCCTATGCCATGACTTACCAAAGATGAAAAATCAAATAATTTTCCATTTTCTAAAAACCTCTGTTCCTCCTCCCTTTACCCTCCTCCTATCGCATCCGACGCTCCTTATCTCAGCAATCGAAAACGTTGGTACTCTGAATTTTGAAGCTTTGGTGGGTAAGGAAGTTGGTTTAATTCCACGAGCAGGAGCAGGGGCCTGTGAAGATATTTGATGATGCGTAGAGAATCAGACAGAGCCCACTTGTGGTGACCACAAATTCTCCGTTAGAATTAGCCAGTGCTTGGCCTGCAGTCTACGGCCACCGACATGACTACATCAGAGGATGAGGACGAGATTTTGGCTCATTTCCTTGAATCGGAGGTGCTCTCCGAGGTTTCAGACCAGGTTTATCTTATTCGTTATTCTTCTCATCTTCGATTCTGTTTCTGTTTGATCTATTTTTGTGCCTAAACAATTCTCTTAATATATCGCTTTCATCCATTTCAAAACTTTATCTTTCCTGTGGCTTTTGAACACATCAACTTGCGAAATTAGGGTTTGTTTTTCTTGAATTTGCTCTTTGGTTGTTTGTTTTATAATCATATTTTATAGATAGCGGAGGAGAAGAATATCGTACATTGGGTAGGACTAAATAAATGATGTTGTTGGTTTTTTGATTGCATGGTAGGAGGAGGAGGATAAAATGAAAAATGAGTCCAAAGCAAAGAGAATGCGAGTAGTAGAGGATAAGACTGAGGAAGACCCTAAATTTCACAAAAACCCAGAAGACAGAGGAGCCTCGTCCTCATCTTCTTCAAGGATTGAGACTGGCATTTTCGGCAAAATCCCTCCTGAACTCTTCCCTCACATCCTCAAGTTCCTCTCTTCCGAGGATCTTATTGCTTGTTCTCTCGTCTGTAGATTTCTAAATTATGCCGCATCGGATGAATCCTTATGGCGTCGCTTGTAAGTAACTCTTTGAAGTCCTTGTATAATTATTTATTGATTTTTCAATCTTTCTAAGCTTCTTGCTTTTTCCTTTGTTATCTTGCCAAAGGTTCTCTATGAAATCAATCAATCAATCTATCTATCTATCAAAATAGGATAAATGGCTGATCTGTAAAATCTTTTGGCTCCACCTGTTCGCAGTTTTAAGAGTTTTACATAATTGTTATTTAACAAATTCCTTCTTAGTATAGATATGTTGATTCTTTAATGACTGATGCACTGAGATTATTTACTTCATTTTCATGAGAGTAGTGTGCTTGTACGGCTATTTGCAGGTATTGTATGCGATGGGGTCTTTTACCTCCTACTAGAAAGTTACGTGAATGTCCTTGGAAAAAACTTTATATTCAGGTACTTTATCTTTTTCATTCATCATTTTGAAGTGTTGTGGTAGTTGCTGAAATCATCATGGAAATTTACAATAGAACCTACTTTCAACTCGAAATACAGAATTTTCCATATTGTGTGAGTTTACATGAAACCTGGAGCCGCTTGCAGCAGGCAACCTAGATAGATGATATTAGCCTATAAGAAATTCTCTCTTTTGCAGCGTGATGAGGAGGACATGGTGGAACTTGTTAGGAATTGCTCACTTGAGTTCAAGGAATACTATATCCAAATGCAAGCTGCCAAAAGAAGCCAAGCACCTCTTCCTTCACAGGTTTGGGGCTTCCTTTGTCTTGAAATATTTCTCTATACGTTTATGGTGATCTATTTGTGTGAGATTATGAGAAGAGCCTGCTGTAATGCTCATTACTCCATGTAGTATACTTCTATGCTTCTTGAAACCTTATGCATAATTGTTTTCTTGTGTTAACTTGAGATCCTTCCCGTGAGTAGTCATTGGGTCTTAAAACCTTGTGCATAATGCTTTTCTCTTGGGTTAACTTTGAGATGCTTCATGTGAGACTTACTTTGTCAGTAGTTTTCTAGTGCTGAAAATCTTTCATTCAGCCTTTTATTAACTTATCCTTTAGTTGCTTGTTTGTGTTTTTTTTCTACTTCTCTCTCTCTCTCTTTCTGTTTATATACAATAGTAATACTTATGCGCTATATATACAATAGGTTTTCAAAACAGTATTATGTGCAGCAATGTGAATTTTAATGCTCTGGATGTGCTTATTATGAGATCCCTGTTAACTATGTGGTTGTTTGTTGTTTGCATGTGAAGGTGAATGACGATGGGATAATTCTTGACAGGACAGTAGCTGATCAAGTGTCTATGTGGAAAAGTAGTAAAGGCCTGACTGATAAGGTTGTAGCTGATCATGCTTGTTCTGGTGAAATCTGTACTTACTACCAAATTGGAGATGTATTTGTTTGTGAGAAGACTGGGCAGGTTCATGGTTTGTATCAATGATCTTCATGAACTTTGTGTATTCATGCATGTATCTAGTAATTTTATGCAGTACTCAGGTCTCATCCAATTATTTGTTATGATTTTTTCTTCAGTATGTGATGATAACTGCAGAGAAGTTGTTATGGATCCAACCAATGAGCTTTGGGTCTGTACAATATCTGGGCACTGTTTTGATAGGCTACTATCACCAGCAGAAATGGAGCCAGATTCTGTGAGTGAAAATCTCCTCTACCTTGCAATTTGTAGTCATAATATTACAATTTTTCAAATTGCCACTCATTCTTCCTCATGAGATATTTTGAGGTTTATAGAAATAGGTAAGAATGTATTTTATTATGGGAAGAAATTCTATTCTTTTATATATTATGCTTGCCATTGTTCTATAGTTTGATGTGCATGGCATCTCGTCAATCAAAATAGATGCAAATATTTTGTGTTTTGAGTTCAGACTTTCCTGTCAGAACTTGCGAGATGCTCAGTGAAAGAATAGCCTATACTTGGTTGAAAACCACTTATATTCATGCAATAGGTGATCTTGGCTATATCATGCCTAGGTGATTTTGGCTATATGTGGTTGACAATCATCATGCCTTTGGCTGTATCATTTTCTCCTTTCTTGTAATATTGTCAAACGCCATGAGGTGATTTTGTTAGTTGTTACCCATGTAGGAAAGTGTTTGTCTCATTTGCTTTATATAGTTGCTAATGCCTTTTCATTTCATTCAAATAAAATTCAGGAACTGCAACAAGGGGGTGTGACAGATGAGGCAGAACCATTCATGGGATCTGGTCGCTTTGGTAATTAAGTTGCCTTTTTGGTTTTTTGAGAAGTGTAATGTTTATCCAAGGGTTTTTCTTCTTTTTGTGTACACAGCTTATTTTGATGTTTTTGACGTTGTGGCAGCGAGAGCTTATCTGTTGGGATACAATTGTGCTGATGAAAAAGAGCTAGAGGATGCTTTGAGGTTTTGTTGAAGAAATATAAGGTCCCATCCATCTAGGTGGATGCCTTTTATGC